ACTGTTGACAATGTAAGATTTCTGTTTGTTCACCTCTTTTTAAACAGCTCTATTGGGAGCACCGAAGAACAAATGAACCACCTGGATATTATTTTTTTGAAGTCTGGCAGTTGCACCAAGTAATCTTTAAGCACGGGTGTCACAGCTTTGCTAGGTAAGTGAAATGAGCTGAATTTTACTCTGAGAAGTCATTAAAATAGAAGGTAAACGTCACAGCTTGCCAGCAACTTGGCTTGAGTTATCTATTTTCTTTTTTTTGCACATCGCCTCTTGTTTCAAAGTTGGAGAATATTAGAGCAGTTCATGAACTCTGCAAAATTCAAGGATTTTCTGGCCCTCCTGGAGCTTCCAACATGAGAAGGGGGAGAAAAAAGTCCACTTTTGCTTTGACCTAGTTTGCCAGCTGGAGAGGAGGAGGGTTTAAAAGTGGGACAAAATTTAATGTACATTCACTTATGGCTTTGGCATACCTATGAGCAGCATGTTATTGGGTCAAACTGTTCTTCAACTTCCCAACTTTCTTAAAAATATTACCACTGCCCTTCACAGCAAGGGCAATGTTAGAAAGAGGTATTGTAAAATGAAATACATTTTTATGGCTTATTCTCTGAAAAAACTAGGCAATTATTCTGAACTGTGGGGACACCATTGTTATGCAGGTGAAGTTAAGAAGTATTTGACTGAGTCAGTGAAACCCAGCACTGCCATCCATATCTTCATACAAACAGTGCTTTAGGTACAGACTCAAGTTACACATGAAAAAGTGATGTTTTTACTTTTCAACACAATTCTCCATAAAGAAAAAAAAATCTGATCCTGATTTTCTGTTGCTACTCCTCTCCAATCTTCCCTGGTTAGGATTTAATTTGAACCACCTGATAGGCTCCTTATCAGTTAAAATGATACCTTGTGTATCCAATCAGGATTAATGCTGTTGTGTGTTTCAAGCTATCAGAAAGTCAAGAGGGAATAGTTTTGGATCTGGATACCTTACTATTCTTTTCCATATAGCTGATGGAAGGTATTAAAACTCACTACACAAATCTGCCAGCCTTCCACAAAGAAAAAAAATCTTTATCTCAACTATTTTGAGGATAACTTAAATTTCAAATGTTTAACCTAAGGGAACAGAAAGTGCCACATTTATACAGAAATCTACTCTCCATGCTGCATCCCAAACATACTCCAAACATAAATTGACTTATTTAACCAAAAGGAAAAAAAAATGGGCCTTAGCCCACTTTGCAACTACTCTCAAGTCCACATTTGTATAAGAAATTTGCAGTTCCCCTGTAAATTAGGGAGTAACATATTTGTTCTGCTTTACATCTGAAAGCACAGAATTACACATCTGAAGGATCAACTCGTATTGAATGCTATTGTGTTCATGTTCTACTTTGGACAAATGTTCAGATGTGGAGCACAAAGAGCACAATACATGAAAAAGAGTTGGAGACTGATAAAAAGAAAAATCAAAGTAGAGAGATCGGGCAGGGAACCAAAAGGAACTAAGAGACTCGACAAGACATAGGCTTGCCCTCAAGAACAAGGAACTCAATCGCTGTAACAAGGCAGAATACAAGGAACTCGAAATTGGGCCATTATATAAAATAGGCTAGCAAAAATGATTGTCCTGACCTGTAAAGGAATACTGTAACTATTTTCTCCTAGAAATGGAAACACATTTTTTAAGTTGAATCATTCTGATGAAACAAGATAGCAGCTTACTGTAAACAGCTAGCTTTTTGAAGCTAAAACGAATTCTGTTAGCTCCACCTCAATAAAACAGCCTGAACAAATAATTCCTGTCTAGCAATTCCTTCCAACGAGAGGAAGCCTGTGCTTAACCTTTATTTTCTCCCACTCTTTAATACATGTAACCCTCCTCTCAACAGTACGCACCTGGAATTCTTCAGGCCAACGTTTTTCCTCTGACACTCGTACCTCCTCCACTTTTGTCACAGCTGTCAGTACTAATGGCTCTTGCTTGGCACCATAGCCTAAAGAAGTAAGAGAGAGAAGAGAATTATAGGGCGGCAGGAGGGAGGCAACTATTTCTGCTTTACAATGAATACAATCAAACATTACTTTCTGTATCAAGCATACAAAACATTAGGGTTTGTTTTCAAACGGGAAGCTAACTAACAAGACTTGAGGCAGATGATAAACATTCTAAAGGATGTGCTCTAGGGGGATTTTGGATGCAACTTCAGCTGAGTAATATCATGGATAGAAATGCTCGATATCTCTTTTATTTGGGGCTTTTATGAACAAATTATGTATAAAGAGACCGAGAAATCATAAATCCAAATATCAAGAAAAAGAATTACTTTATTTCACACGTGATCAAAGCTCTAACATATGATTTTACATTTTGTTTGGTAGACAAATGAGCATAACCATATGGACTTAATAGTATATTTTTATTTTTCAAATAACTCCACACAGCACTTGCAAATAAAAAAAGTCTTTTTTTTTGTTGCTGTTTTTGGTTTTCCCCCCTCTGTATTGGTAGTTAGGCTTTTCCTAAGCCTAATATCTGTAAATATACAGATATTATTGCAACAAAACCTTCACTGAGAATAACTTACTTTCTTTGGTGCTCAAATTAACACATCTAATCAGCACTGAAGAATACAAGACCCATTATTTACGACTGGACTCAGGGCCTTCCTCAGAGACTTCCAAAGGGGAAAATGGACTCAACTGATAATCCAGTTCTTCTTTAATGATTTTAATGCAGCTAATAGTTTGTAACCAAATTTAAGCAAATAATGGAAGAACATTTTGCATCTTTTTCAATTGCCACACTGCAGGGAAACTGAAAAATAACACAGGGCTGGACCTGTTCTCTACATAGTACAGAGAGATCAAAAATGATTTGAAGTAGCTTTCCCTAGCCACAAAGCACAAGGAACGTGATCTTTCTCTCAACATTTATTTCCATCCATATTGGACTATTTTTCCCTCATATAGCTTGTTCTTTTATGAGTAACTATTCTTCATCTGCCTCCACACTGGCTTACTGTTTTAAGCTCAGGAGACTGTGTATACTATGCCCCTTTCTTAAGCAAGTACTCTATTGTATCTAAATTGCCTTTTAACAAAGCACACGAGGCAAAAACAAGTTAAAACGGAGAGCATTGTCAGCATCCAAGCAATCTTAGCTAAGGCAAATATTGTTGTGCACACACTTACTTCACAGCATCCTGTAGTAAAAGCAGAGTAATCTGAAGTAAGGCTCAGTGAAAGAGCAGTTGAACCGTGTTTCATTATCATAGGGAAAGGACATGCACACAGATGCCAGTAGAGATGACAGAGAGAAACTTGTTCTTTCTCAGCAAGGTGCTCATGCACCAAAGATATCATTAAAATGTTAAAAAACAGAAGCCACACCGATTCATTTAGCATCTCCAGGTTTTGTTCTATTTGCCAAGTAGACACATTCAAATAATGAAAATTCTTGACAAGCCATATTTTATTCAGTCTACAAGAGTTCCTCCAGAATTGGCCATCCTCTTCATACTGTCTCCAAAATACTGTTAGTGTATTCACGTCACTTCCCTTCATTAGTCCTAATACAAACACTGGCATCTCCAACACATACGCACGCTTAACCACAGTATCTTCACAGGACTGGAGCTTAGGATATTATGCAGTCTTCTGCTCAAAAGCTAGTCACAGGGGAAGGAAGATTCAGTACAGATCGAAAGAAAGATGGAGAAAAATTGGCAAGACAAGGTAATAATAAGCAAGTAAATGCAGAGGGTGTACTTTAGCAAAAGATTTTTTTTTAATAACACTTGAATTCCCCTGACCATTTTGGTGGAAATAACCACTCAAAGAATGCCTGTGCCGGGAAACAAGAGTTGGCACGGTATGAAATATCAGAACATGTAAGTACCTAATGTAAGACTGGTTCATTTGCAGATACACTAGGACTCAAAAAACAGCTGGGACTGAGAAAAGCTACCAAGTTAGCCTGGAATTCTCATCCGAAAGACTTGATAAGTCGTCACACAGAAGAGGTATGCTATTTAAAAACATACACTTAATATATTTATCCACTGCCACATCGTTGAAACAAAACTGCACTAATGATCTTGGCTCTTCAGAAGTTGCACATTTTTTGCATTTCTCAGAAAGATGCAGAAATACAGATCTCTTATAGCAGTAAGTCATGTTGCCACCTTCACCATAAACTCTCTGCAGGGCAGCTTTTTAATGGCAGCTCATCAGCAGAGAGAAAACTGTAACATGCTGTGTAGTATCAGCAAAGGGCTTTAATTCCTTATCAGCTTAATACCATCTGGGCTACTTAGGCTAAGCAAAAGCCTATAAGCCGTTTGCCAGTCAAACAGCAGAGGATAAAACTGAACGCAAGCAGCAAGGCAGAGGTGGCTAGATTAAGTGTACTGCAAATGAAACCAAATTTTCCACAAGGTTTACACTGCAGCCACAGGACAAGTAGTAACAAAAGGACAGAAACAAGTACCACGTGAAACAGACTATTTAGTTCCTTATGAATCTTGTTTGCCTCAAAAAAGGTAATTCTGCTCTGTTGCTCTGCATATAGATTCTATTCCTATTACATTGAAACTTAGTGGATATGAGAAACTGGACCTCACAAAAATCAAACCACAAGATGTGATCCTCTCTATCCCTAACCACCAAATAGAAAAGACACAAGGTTAGTTTTGCAGACTTCCATCAAGAAAAGCAGAAACTGTGAAAGCATCAGTGCTTTCACATTGATAATCATTCATTCATTCTGTTCTCAAATCCTGCTGAAGAAAAGTAACATCCTGAAAACTATTTTGCACAGAAAGAGTATTTACTTGTGTGAAATATTATTCAATCCTCTGTTTCACATCAAATTTTAGTTAAAGCTGGACTTACCATCTGGGTCTTTAAAAGTCAAGGTGATAAACTTGCTAGCAACCATGAACATGAATATCACCCAAAAGCATGCAGCTAGCAGCAGCCACTGGTGGTGCATGTTGTCAGACATGAGCCATATAAAGTATTTTGTTGCTTCCTGTTTGAAAGGGGAAAGATTGACATATGAATAGTTTGTTCCAGTTTAGAAAAAAACCTCAAACTTTCCACAACCAATGTATGACAAAATTCTAACATGTATGTTTGCCATAAAACCTACCCACAGTAGCAGTTTTCATTCTTTCTTGTTGTTCTTTTGGCTGAGTTTTTATGTGATATTACAGCTGAGCCAATGTAATATCTGGCTGCTTCCAAAAGGGAGGTTTCACATCTCCTTCACCCCTGCATACGCATTCCCAGCCCCCTTCCTTGTGCTAGCAATAGCACTGTCTATGTGGCATGTGACTGTGTTTCCCTGACTGCTCGGCAGCACGTGGAGGAAGCTCCCCTCTCCATGGTATCTAATCAGTTGATCAACCAAACTGTAACAGTAAAACTGTACTCTTAATTATCCTCTGTCAACTCATTAGATATAACATGGACTGCTCTACTGCCCAGCGTCCAAGAAGTACAGGTAGAAAGCCACCAAACCAAAACGCTAAACTGCCACAATATTTAAAGTTATTAAATACATTATTTTATTATGTCATTTTTATTGCCAGCAGAGTATCAGCCATAAGTTCTGGGAAAATTTTCATTTCTCTCATGCTAAGCACTGTCTACATAAAAAGAGTTTGCCTGAAGCAGAGACTGCCTTAAAGATATGACTTCCCCAACAGTGCAGGAAGAGCCACCCACAGAATTCAGACCGCAGATCCACGACTCCAAACACATGAAAAACCCACAGTAGTGACTGAATCAAACAAGAGTGAGGATTAGGACACAGTACAGTATTACAGGGTGTTTGTTGTACTTTGCACAGTTTGTAGGTTTGCTGGAGCGCTCCGAGTACTTCTTAATTAGATTTTAGAAACTGTAATTCTGAGAAATTATTTTTTCATGTTAAAAGGTAAAAATGCAATATAAGGAAACCAATTACAAAAAAATAGATTTAAGTCGCTAACCTTTAAGAGAAATGCATAGTTTTAAGCTGCATCTTTTGCTGAACATCCAACTTCTGATGGGCAACACTTCCATGAAGCACGTAGGCTGACACAGAGTATTCGTGAAGTCCCTCTGCAAAATTTAAGCTTACGTGACTTTGTAAAGATTCTACCAGAAAACATCACTGCCGATCTGCCAGCACCTGAGATTCCATTGGCCTGAATATTTATCTTGCAAAAATAAAGCAGAAACTGCCGCCAGCCTCAGCTGCTGCTGGTGAAACATTAGACACTTAGCGGCCTGAACTCAGGTGTTGGAAAGCTCAGACTTGGTGAACTCCTTTTACAGCCTCAGAACACTCAAGCAAAGATGACTTAAACCAAAAACCTCAAACTGCTACTACATTCTCTCAACACTCCTGTAAGGTTTGTACTCTACTTTTAGCCTTGGGAAACAACAAGGAAAACAAGCCATAGGACCAAACTCAGTCCTAAAGTAACTGCACAGAACTGCAGTGACAGTCACTCCTGCACGGTCTTACGACCACACTCTCTGTGCGGCCACTTGAGCGAATTGCCAGAGAGTAAAAGAGATGTCCTCCTTCCCAGCTACGATGCTAAGATCATGCTAGTTAGTACTACGAGGCACAATTTGTATTAAGTTTTTGGTCATTTACCCATGTTCTAACTTTCTCATCCCCATAAAGTTTGAACATCAGAAGTAAGCCTTTTTTTGGCACCGTTCCAGCATGTCTACTTCCTGCCACCTGCTACACCAGTACTACTACTGCAGGTGTTGATTGCTTTTCTATCCAGTGTTTGCCTTCCAGCAATGAAAATGCTTCCAACAAGGGTTCTCACTGTAGGTGATAGAAACAAAACATCCTCAGGGTACTGCTGCAAACCTGTGCAGACAGGCAAGCAGCACAAAATAGACGTGGGAACCTAAAGATGTAATTCAAGTGGGTGAGAAGCAGGAAAAGAACAAAATAACTCCAATTACAAAAACAGAATCCACAATTTTTAGCTAGGTTGGGAATGTTCGGGCCTATTTTTATTTTCTCAGTGCAACATGTTTTCAGTTTGGCTTCTAAAAGGTCCTTCCCTCCACTCCTTCCTTTATGATTTCGCTTTTAAATACTTCTCTCAAGAAACACTGCATTTAAGTAAAAAGATGCATCGACTATCTTGGAAGTTACAGCTATTTTGAATTCATGAAAACAATGTCTGTCATCTCCCATTTTCTGCTGTAATTCCCTAGTTACCAAATAAGCATATAATTTTCAGAGACATGTTATTCTTCAACATCAAAAACTGTAGGTCAGGAAGGGCAAACGCTATGGCCTGAATTTTAGAGCACTGACGTCTTCGCAGCTCAGTTCAGTAAAGCAATTCAAAGCTAATTTTCATCTTACCATTACACTAACGCAAAACTTGCCCTAAGATTCTTGTTGAAGGCCATCAGGTCTTGAGATTGCTCATTTGCAATCTGCCACAACATTGACTGTCTCCTACTTAGAGCACTAAAACTTACCACCTTGGCTTTCAGACACCACCATTGATTGGGAACACTAACTCACTCCTATGAAGGAGAGAGAAATGCAAAATAGACGTCAGGAGACACGGCACAGAACACTGAAATGATATTTTTACCTTTTGGCAAGCTCTACTAAAACCATGAGAGCCATTCAACGTTTAAGATACAATTTAACCTGGCTTCAGAGCAGTAGATTGGCAGAAGCTTGCAGAGAATACTCTGCAAGGGGAAAATCTCTGTCTAACCATCAGCGGCTGGCTCTTCAAAGACATGATGGACAGTCTGGGACAAACTCTTTTGTACAACCCAGTACATCTGTTCCATACAAAGAATGGAAGAACTGGGCCTTCGATGTTCATAATATCCCTCCTAGCCTGACAACTTTTATGATGATGATGGATGTGCACTATTCAGTAAGGATTACTGATCTATACCTCCTCGTGTAATTTATGCACTGGATTTCTAAGAAGTTGAGTTAAACGACCGGGGAAGAAAAGTTTCAACCTGCTCTGACCTGAAAGGCAACAATAGGTAGCGCACAGAGGATGCTGCTGCCCCATCCTCTGTTCAAGGGATGGGAGAACAACACGATTTCAGCCAAAGACACAGAAGAGCAATACACTATTCACCTTAAGGACTAGGCTCAGAGACCAGAAAGGGGACAGAATCACAGTCACATCCATAACAGTGACAATTATTATCCTTCAATATGCTGAAGCTGAGATGGAAATATTAAGCAATTTTATCTTCTCCTTTGTTAGGCACACAGCAGATCTACAACCATATTCAGTTATGTAATAGCCTTGTCAGAGGATTTATCATCATGTAATTATAACGGCTGGCACTGTAACTCATTTCTAGTATCCTAAACAAAACTCTGTCTGTATCAGCTTACTCACTATCTGTCTCAAGAAGCAGGATTGTTCAAAACTCTATATGAAAGTAACTCGACCATTATGATCGCTGAAATATAATGCCCATTTAGATTTTTTAAAGAATGCGTTCATGTTGTTTCCTTTTCTCTAGCTTTTTCTACCCTATCTAATGAGGATATTTTTATCATTTTCACATAGGGTAATCACACTTCCTGATTCCTCTCCAATCTTCCTTTCTGTTGCCTCTCCTGCTACTTACTTTTTTGGTAAATAAATTTACGAGCTTCTTCTTTTCCTCTGCAATAGTTTCCTTCAGCTTTTAAGTATATCTTTTACTTCTTATTGCCTACGACATTTTTGCTTTATAGGGAGAGAAAACAAGAAAGGGAAAAACAACCTGCTCCTTCTCCCTCTTGCTGCAATTTGACACTTTTTAGGATCACAAGATCTGAAAAATCTGTCTCTCCATCTACTCCTCTGTCTTTCTTCTCTGGGCTACCTGCCCCAGACCCAAATTGTCACATAACCCTCAGATAGCCAGATGCCAGTTTTAATACAGCAAAAGTGTGATAGCAAGCATACATCCCAAACACGAACGAAAGAACAAGACAAAAAGAGCATCAGGGTTGATCCATGGCCTGTGACTAACAAATCAGATGGAGAAAATGCAAGTACTTCTGGGGAAACTCCTGTTTTTCATATGAATGACAGAATAAAGTGCAGAAGGTTTAAGCAAGAAGCAAGGTTTAAGCAAGGTTTGAACCAACTGCAACTCAAAGCAAAGGCCCCTATGCTGCAAGTTATGCTGCCTGGATGGGCAGGACATTGGCAGGACGGTCACTACATGCACAGTGAATCACAGTAACACTCCAGTAGTCTCAAACTACCAGCTGCTTGCCCAACAGCACATGACTAATGATGTAACTTGAAATGCAATTCATAATGAAGGACAAACAATAGCTAGCTGGGATACCTAATTCATTTTCATCAAGGCCTACTTTGTGTTATTTTAACTTCATAAGGTCTGCCCCCCCCCCTTTTTTTTTTAATGCTGAACTAAAATCTACCACATACTCATTTGGTAAGTTGCAGGGTGCTACTACTTGTTATAATGAACATTTCTGAAAGCTGCTTCTTCTCTAAGGCTTCTCACCGCCCTGATATCATTAGCAGGCCTATCATCTCTGCTCTTACCGAGACTGCTGGAGAGGAGAGGCCTCTCGAGCATGCATACTTCATCTTTCAGCATGGAGAAAATGAGCTATGGGAGCAGCAGCCCCAACAACAGCTCCATAACCCACCTCAGCCCCAGGCAGGCTCAGTGCGAAGGACCGTGCCAGCCCTGCAGATGCCAGCCGGCGGATAAGGTGCTCAAAACTGGGACCCGGCCTCTCCACCCTGCCCACCCGCGCGGTGCTAGACCCATGCCAGGTCCAATCCCACAGGGCTAGATGGGACACTGCCCACCCCTCACGGCCGGGAACTGCGGCGGCAGATGTTCCCCCAGCGTCCGGGCTCCTCACCGGCGTGATGCTGGGGGTGCAGCTCACTGTCCCGTGGGAGGGATAAAAACACAGGGGGTCTCCACCTTACTCGAGCCGAAAAGCTGGTCTCCCGATGCAATCTGAGGAAGACGGACCTTCGCTAAACAGGCGTAAACTTTTTCCAGGAGAAACATTGGAGCGCTTTATTCCACCGGTCCCCAACCGGAGGTCTGTCTAATACCAGGTAAAGGCAACAGAAACCCGCCACGCTCAGCGGATTTCCCTTGCTCTCCGGGCCGCAGGAGTCTCCCCATCGCCGGGCAGGGCCGGCCGGCCGGGGAGGGAGCGGCGAGC